TCGGCAGCTGTGTTTGACTCTGCGGGAATGAGAGCGGGTCATCTTGTGGCCATTTTTCTGTGATAGTTTGACTGTTTAAGAAACCTTAACCAGTCCGTGCACGTCTCATTCACACATGACTTTCAACATGCCAGAAGTGTGAATGGCGACTGTGTCTTTGGGAGCTGCACAGTGTTGCTTTCTGACCGCAGCCACTTACAATAAAATGTGCTAACTTTGTCATTAGACTATTAATAAGAATTTCAGCACTCGCTGTTATGCGTATAGCACGTGGCTTTCTTCAGCATTTCGGATACACATGTGGGTGTAAACCTCTATGAGTAAAAAAAAACCCCCAAAAATCATTATGAGTACAGGAAGGAAGGAATTACGCAAGATCTACAGACATGTCTGTGCTCTCCACATGTTCATCATAAAGAAACAGGACAAGGACAATTCCTTATTTCATCCTCCAGGATGCTGTCTGCACATGATATAGCCTGTTGGATATATGGCTGTGTAATTATTGAGTGCACTTTTTGTGTGTGCATGTGTGTAATGTGCATTATAGACTACCTGTTGCCACATTGAAGTAGTTATTATCACTAAGGCCACATAGAAATGTGTCCATACACACTGAAATGAGCAAAAGTGTCTTTAGATTAATAAAAAACAAACTGAAATGACACATTGAGCTCAAACAGCTGTTGTTTTGTCAGTTTGATGAAACTCACAACCCAGATGAAGAACAACAGTACAGACACACGTGTTTATTGCAAGGACAGAATAAAACCTGGGCGTAGCTTCGGGGTCAGAAAAAGGAAGCCTGCGTGGAAGTGCATCAAAGCTGCGTTCTATCTGATTGCTGTGGTTGCAAAAAGGCTTCTGGTTCTACAGAAGTCTGTGAGCCGTTTCCTGCCCAGTTTCCGGTTCCAGTTACTCATTTTGGTTCATTAAAAAAAAAAAGAAGTCCATTCTGAAAATATTTCAAAATGGAGGGTTTGTGTTGTGAAACCACACATTCATTGGCTAACGAGTGGTCAATTACAAGTCTTGTTATTTTTTTTAAGGTGAAGGTGATGAAGAGGCTCATCTCAAGGCTCTCAAATGAGACGATGATCTCTCAGTAACTACAGCCATCTATTATGGAGCTGTAGTTTACTTATTTAGTGCTTTTCTACTTTAAGTGCTTCTTAGTGCTTCTTTCACACGTTCATACAGTGCATTCATTCATTTCAGGCACTCACTGTTACCAGTTATAAATTATAATGAAATAAAAAAACCAAACTGAGCAAAAATAAGTGAAACTCTTTAATAACTGTTAACAAATGATTTAACGGCAGATTTGAGACTTTTCTGCGCGCGACTGCTCGCCTGTCGGATCAGTCCAGCGTTCACGTATCAGGAATTTGTCATAGTTCATTAGCTTACCAGCGGTGTGAGTGGTGTTTAGTGAATGCACATAAATGTGTGTTTGTAGCAGGATCCACACAACAGCTGGAAACAACGAGCTAAACTTCAGCTCCCGTTAATGTTTATTCACCGCAGGTTATTTTCATTACTGGGAATCGACAGTAATCTGACCCATATTTGGTCTTTATTGTGGTCAAATTTAACTGACAATTTACTCTGTAATTGATGTGAAATTGTAGAGCAAAGTTTCTGACTCCAGACATTTCTGTTATTTTTCAGACATGCATATTTGGATATTAGTGGGTCACTTCCTGGCCCGTTGAACATGCATAGACACCAGGGTTTCCTCTCATTTGTTTTGAGCTGCTAAACTGAAAGCAGGTGTCTCATACCAAAGGTCAGACCTGCATGTGGGTGTAAACTGCATGGTTTTGCTTTTTGTAGAGCAGGCTGATGGGGGTGAGCAGAGGCACAATATCTATCCATTTCTTCCCCCTAAGACCCATCTGGAAATGAATCTGACGATGAGCAAACTCTGTCTGGGCTAAGCTGCTAAGAGCCAGTCTGAGGAGGTTGGAGTCAGTTGCTACCTGCAGACGAGGAGAGCATCGACACACTCGAGTGCGCGCATTAACGAGGCGTCTGGCCGTTAAACTGTCAGTGTAGCATCTCCACATGGAGCAAGCACACCTGGGCTCCCAGATCTCCTTTTCTCCTTCGGCTTCTTGTGTCTCAGTGTCAGTTAGGATCTGGATTCACCCACTGCATCCAAGCGTGAGTACGGATAAGATGCTGTATCAGCAGAAAATGGAAAAATGCAGACGTAAAGCACCGCATTGTAGATTGATCCAGGCCAGGTCAGGGAGTGCTAACTGCGGGATCTTTCGGTCCCTTTTGCAGCAGTGGGCGTTTTTGGCTTTTCAGTGGCCGGTTGCTGTTGAAGAAGTATGAGGTCATCTGTGTTTGAACAGTTGATCATCCTGGAGTGCAGATATATGCAGGTATTTCTTATGAATTTCCCGCTTTTAATGTTGTTGACAGCTGCACGTTGGCTGAATGGACAGAAAAATGCACATAATCAGGTTTACAGAGCGAGCGCTCTGGTGTTGCTGAAGGGGAGAAAACAAAGGCCGAGGAGGATGATGAACTGATCTCTCATCCTGAGCTATGTTAAGAAGTTAAGTATGCTTTCATTTTGGGGTACGCTCCACTGCCAGTGAACCCATCCTCCGGAGCCTCATGAGTCTGCTCTGTGCTGCTCTGAGCTTCACTCAGACTCCACTGTTACACAAGTTTGCACAAATACAGGGAGTTGCAGCAGATATGTGATTTACTGTAATTCAACCAAAACTGTCATCTTGAGGTTTTTGCTTCTAGAAGTGTCGAAAGAATTCTTCTCTTGGTTTGATGTCACAGATCTTTGATATTTGTTTGTATGGAAGTTTTAAGACAATCTCACAGTTTTGCAGTCATTGCAGGTAAAATGTAGTCATTTGTATGACTCTCAGACTCTATTATGAACAACTAAAATACATATACAATGTTGCCAGATTGTGTAGTTTCAACCCACATCTTGGCAACCCACAAACCAGTTCAAGGAGCTAACCTCGGCAGACAGATCAGGTAGACGATGAAGAAATCGTTGCTTCCACACTTCAGCTCTGTGTCACATGTGCAACAAAGTTGGAAAGATTTTCACCACTTTGAGTTTCATTAATCACAAATCCCTAAGTGAAACGTGATACAAACAAACAGTCCATTAAGTGAATTAAAACCAAATTTCTCATGAAGTTGGTCATCCTCCAGGTGGGACCACTAAGGATAAATTCATTGAAATCACTTCATCTCAGAATCTTCAGGAATGCTGAGAAGGCTGAGAGGTGGCAGGCTGGTGGATTGTTGCTGAGCCAGCAGTAATGAGCTTGTACTGGACTGCTGTGGTGATGAGAGCCTGTAACCTGTGTGCTCCGGGTAGTCACCAAAAGAATAGGGTTGCAGGCACGAGCAGGACGAGCTCCGGGGTGACGGAGTAAGGGCACTCAGACATGCTGAGGGAGCTCGGAGTAGAGCCGTTGCTCCTTCATGTCTAAAAGAGCCAATTGAGGTGGTTTGGGGCACGCCCAGCTGGGACGAGACGCCAGCAGGAACTGCAAAGTGCTGCTGGGGACAAGGACGTCTAGAATGCCCTGCTGAGCCTGCTGCCACAGCAGCCTAACTTTGGATAATTGGAAGATAATGGATAGGTTTTGCTTGTCAACAATTAGTTTGGGGGGAAAAAAAGCTTTTGCTGTTCTTTCACTGGGAGACAGAAATAGACTCCCCGGTGTCTGTCTCCCTCTGCCTCCTTTCTCCTCGTTCGTGCAGAGCTGCACATTAGGGCTGCCACGATTTGTCGACTAGTCACGATTACGTCGACTATCAAAATCGTCGACGACTGATTTAATAGTCGACGCGTCGTTTGAAGCTTTGTAAGATCCCAAAAGACGCAGGAATAAGTAGCAGGATTTAAGAGTGTAATAACGGACTGAAACAGAAGATGGCAGCTGCCGTTAAACCCCGAAGAAGAAGAAGAAGAAGCAGCAGCTGTGTCCCAGAATTCATAGCGCGGCCCAGCTCAGTTTCCAACAATGGCGGCAGCTAGTTAGTTTTAATATTACTCTTATTATTCTTTCTGGGTCACAAAATAAACGTTTAACATAGTTTCAGCCGAGAATGTAGCTGTGTAAACCTCAAATATCTGCTCAGTTTATCAGGACACCACATATTTTCAAAAGCGCTCCGACGTTTTCGGAGACGTCTGTTACCCACTAGCTCGATAGCTAGCCGGGGGCTAGGCTCACTAGCGCCGTGAGAACACCGGACTCCCGGCAAATTGTTTTCAAACCCACCGCCGTCTTTCGCTACTCAGGTTAAATATATATGAGTCACTTAGATAAATTAAAAATGTTGTTGTTTGGCTTTTTTTTTTTTTTTTAGTATTTTATTTGTTCCTGAGTAAATCGGTTTGGCTGAGATTAAAGTTATAGTTTTTACACAGCTGAATAAACGTCAAGCAGACAGCTGATTATCAAAAGTGTGAGATGCTCCAGAATATACTCCGGTGTCCTGTTATATTTTAGATAGCAAGGAGTTTATTAAACTTTACCGAAACAATCTGCAAATTTCATTAAAATTGAATAAACTATCATCTTGTCTTTATTTTTAGTTAGCACCTTAAAAGCTTAAAGCTGTAAGCTAATGATAGTTATATAAGAGCAGATGCTGCTGGTGCAATAAGCTGTAGTTTTACGTCCAGTGGATGATGATCTGATTAGTCGACTAATCGCATAAATAATCGGTGACTAGTCGACTATCAAAATAATCGTTTGTGGCAGCCCTACTGCACATGCACAGCTGCCCTGTTGTATCTGAGCAGCTCGCAGCTGCACAATTAACTTGTACCATTAATGCTGGTGGTCAGTGTGGCTTGAATCATCAAGCTGTATCAAATACTCCCCAGTTGTAGTCAGTGGTTCTGACGACGTCTCCTGGTGTATTTTATTTCAAACTGTTCATGCGGCTGTAACTCTCACAGCTTCTCTCTCGTGTTGTTTTGTGTTTGTTTTCAGGTAAGAGGAAGCGGGTGCTCAAGCTCCCCAAGGAGGCGTTTGAGCAGGCTACCAGTACCAGCTCAGTGTAAGTGTCATTTCTGCAGAATGTTACTGAAACATGCACGCATGCTTCTATCTGTGTGATTATTTATCCCGGTTTGCACGTCTGACCCTTTCTTAAATCAAGTCAGAAAGCTGAATATGTGAAATGAAAATCTGTGCAGCAGCAGGAAATAGGAGGAGGAAGTTACGCTCCCACTAATACCATCTTTCTCTGTAAGCACGCTTTTACAGTCAGCCACACCCTCAAGCAGTGTGTGAACATGAAAGAGTAAATTTCTTTGGTCTTAATTACCCTGATAACTGCACGTTCTCGCCACAATAAAAGCCTCTGTTTGGAGCTCTTTCTCCACATTTTTGATAACATGAAGCTCAGTCTGCAGCTGACTTTTGATAAGAACAGGTTTTCTGCAACCAACAAAAAGAGTTAGTGTTCAGTGTATTTTTAAAGTGTGTCCTCTTCATTAAGAAACCTGCAGCTGCAGAGGCGTTTCTGGTTCAGAGCCAACTTGTAGATGAAATGTCAGAAACACTGTGGCTGCATTATTGTGTTTAACTGTGCTTCTCATTGTTTTTAAATTACAAAAGTATCTGTTTAATAGTGTAGTATTTTTCTGCTTATTTTAATTTCTTATTTTGTGTATTGCATCTTATTTAATATATCTAATTAATCTAATATTTTTATATAGTTTTGTTATTAGTTGTTTACTATGTTTTTTTCACTGTAGTATAAACAGGTTAAGCGAATAGTATAAAGCAGGGATGTCGAACTCCTGCAGGTTTTAGAAAACACCCTGTGTCAACACACCTGGATCAAAGATTAGTTCATTACCAGGCCTCTGGAGAACTTCAAGATATGTTGAGGAGATTTAGCAATTTAAATCAGCTGTGTTGGATCAAGGACACATCTAAACCCTGCAGGACGCCGGCCCTCGAGGCCTGGACTTTGACACCTGTGGTATAAAGGATGGACGCAGTTTCCAGTCCTGAAAAGTGGAGCTCTCTCTTTATCCTGTCTTCCTTCTCTCACCCTAACCAATCGCAGCAGATGGCCCCGCCCCTCCCTGAGCCTGGTTCTGCTGGAGGTTTCTTCCTGTTAAAAGGGAGTTTCTCCTTCCCACTGTCACCAAAGTGCTTGCTCATAGGGGGTCATATGATTGTTGGGTTTTTCCCTGTATGTATTATTGTAGGTTCTATCTTATAATATAAAGCACCTTTAGGCGGCTGTTGTTGTGATTTGGTGCTGTGTAAATAAAACTGAATTGAAGCCAGGTCTTGTTACATCCTGTCTCAAAACCAAGATCGTAAAAATACTCAGTTTTAGGTTTAATACCAAACAGATGTTGCTGCTTCCGTCTCTCATATACAGTCTGTGTTCTCTCCACTGGCTCTGATGGGGAAAAAGCTCAGTTATTTATTTCAAGATTCTGACTTTTTCTAATTTTAATCGCTGCTCCCAAAGCAAAGGACATTTACCTTACAATACGAAGCACTCTGAGGCGACTGCTGTTGGAAGTAAATAACATAAAATTGAAGTGAATTGAAAGCCAGAAGCATCTTTTCATAGTTGGTGGTTTTTGCAGAAGAATAAATTCTGCTGTTTTGTGCCTGAAATGTGCGACGTGTGTCCTCTAAAGAACACTTTAACCTGCTCATATGTAACCAAATGTTTTTGTGTTTCAGACCGCCCAGAGATTTGGATTCGAAAGCTTGTGTAACAATCGGAGAGAAGGTAATTTTATTCCTCAATTTTATTGGCTCATTTACTGTCTTCTTTTCCCCCTTTCCTAATCCCATTCAGGGTTTGATGCTTGTTTTTCCTCCTCTCGTCGCGGTCTCTTACATAACTTCTTACTTTTTTCCTCCTCCCAGTGTAATTTTGGTCGATCCACATAGGTTGGCTTAATCGCGGCTCTGTTGGCTGTAAAGAATGTCCTGATGAACATTACAGCCGAATTGAACACTTCTGATTGTGGTTAGACTGGAATGCTTTTTATTGCCCATCAGGCAGTAAAAATATTTATTTTAAACTCCTCAAATAAGTGGAATTTTCCATTGGCAGGGCTGGCTGCTCGTTCTCTGTTCGAGTTGGCCACAAGTCAAAGAGATTTCTTTTTTTCTCGTGTTTGAACAATTGGAAACAAAAAAAAATTAGGAAGTATCCTGCTGCATCGTGGAGGAGACTTTTGCATGGCTTTAAAGAGACATGAGAGATTCCTCGCCCTGTGGGTTTGGTGTCCACTGGAACTTGTCCTCCATTTGTGCAGAATTTCGAGGTGAAGGCAGATGACCTGGAGCAGATCTCCGAGCTCGGCAGAGGAGCGTACGGCGTGGTGGACAAGATGAGACACGTGCCGAGTGGCCTGATCATGGCTGTTAAGGTAAAAGGAAAGACGATTTCCAGACTTCAGGAATGTTTATTTAGCCACGAGCCCATTAAAGCAAAGTGACAAACACACAAAACACACTCGCTCCTCACCTGATGCTCTGCTTTTGGAAATGGAAATGGAAACTGCTCGTTTTATAAATGGAGATCCAGTTATTCCATGCAAAAACTGCAGAGCGCACAGGGAAGGAGGTCAGGATGGGACTCTCATCATCATCTCATCATGATGTTAATGATGATGATCGATCCGTAGGCCTGCAAAACACCTGTACATCAAACCAAAATACAAACATACTGATATATATACACACATACATGCGCAAACACAGTCGACACAATCTACATGACATAAAATAACAACTCAGTCCTGGAGTAGGAAGATGTATGCACTCATTAATCCACTGTTGAGTTACCATGTGCGTCACACTTGGCCCACAAAAACAGAGACAACGGCAAAGTCTGTGTGTAAATATAAATATAAAGGTCAGTATAAATATGTAGACTTGAAAATTACAAAACTGTTCCATAGTTTTTGTTCCACAAATAGAAATACAAAAGGTTTAATCTGTGGTTCCCCCAATCTGTGTCAAAAATCTGAATCTGTGCGTTCAGCAGTTTTAGAGTTTATGAAGGATTTTTGATTCCTGCTTGATTAGTGATCCTGATTGCTGTTCTTTGAAATGAACATAAAAGTGCAGTTTTGTGTGTGTTGACCGCACACATCACTCTACGTATGGCAGTGAACAGTAATGTAAACCTAAGGATCTTGTGGACATTTGTTGGGTTTCTCCTGCTGGGCTGACAGATCAGGTGTTCTTGGCCGTCCAGCTGCCAGGTTACTCTGACTCTGATTTTGTGTTGGTGTCAAACCTTTTTTCTCTTTTTTCGTCACCACCTTGGGTATTACAGCTGGAGCTTTGCTTTTATTTATTTACCGACCATTGTTACTCCAGAGGAAACACTTTGCAAATATCCTTCCTGGGCATTTATTGCTTCATTCATTCTGTTGCATATTTCTCTTGCATTAGTTTTTATTGCAAAGCTAAAACACATGAGTTTATTTATTATTTAATTTAAGTTTATAATGATAGTGATTGGATGGTGTAAATATTGTATTTCTCTGCTCCTCATTATGTGGTATGGGGAACTGAAAAGTCAAAGTGAAAAGCTGAGGTGGGGATGTAATCACAGTCAGACTCCGTTTAGTTTTACTTGATTTTAAACTTTGACTTGAGCTGCTCTGCTCTTTCCCCTCATCTGCAGTTTTTGGCCTTTCTCTAATCTCTAACCCAGATTAAAAAACGTCATGTCTGCTCTTCACCTCACGACCAGCAGTAGGATAATGCTACCCGTGAAGAGGCTGCACATTTCTTGCCTGTCTCCCTGCTGACATCACAAAGTGCGACTGTTTTCGCTCTGACGGTTTGTTTCTTGTCATCCTTCCTCAGCGCATTCGGGCCACGGTGAACACTCAGGAGCAGAAGAGGCTGCTCATGGATCTGGACATCTCCATGAGGACAGTGGACTGCTTTTACACCGTCACCTTCTACGGAGCACTATTCAGAGAGGTAGAGTCACAGAAAGGCTGCTGCTCGTTATTCATTTTCTTTGTGCGTTCGTGGCAGTGTGTCTTTTTGGAGAGAGGAGTGAAGGAAAGTATCTTAATATATTCCATAGTGCAAAAACAGTGAACTCTCCGTTGTTCAACCAGTCAGGACAGAGTCATTCAAATCTCTCACAGAGCGGTCTTGAAGAAGTAATGGATATAAAGACTAAAACAGTTTAAGAGTGGGGTCGGGGGGCACCTCTGCAGACCGTCTGATACAGAAACTTCCTGCAGCAGTGAGTGGATGTTCAGGATTTCCTCACTGGGTCTGAATCACTGGAAAATCTGTCACTTCCTGTCTGTTTGGAATCCGGCCGGCGCCTTTTTGTTCTGCCGCTTTTTTCCTTTTTTGTCCTGATCTGTTTCCAAATCTGCCTGTCTGTTGCCAGGGCGACGTGTGGATCTGCATGGAGCTGATGGACACCTCCCTCGACAAGTTCTACAAGCAGGTGATTGAGAAGGGCCTGACCATCCCCGAGGACATCCTGGGAAAGATCGCTGTCTCAGTAGGTTCACTTAAAGCGGCATAATGTGAATGATTAAAATTTAATGCGAACACTCAACTTAGCTTAATGACACATACGGGTTATGTAACGCTCATTTGCTTATTGATGGCCTTTCTCATTACAGATAGTAAAAGCTCTGGAGCATCTCCACAGCAATCTGCAAGTCATACACAGAGGTAAGAGCCTTAGATTGGAGACCCATTAAACTCTCACTGCCAATTTCCTCTCAGCTGCACGCGGCTGCTTCTGTTTTCCGCTTCCATTATCCCTTCAGACTCTTGCCAGATCTTACTGGAGAGCCACAGCAGTGCGTCTGTGTTAAAGCAGTTAAACGAGCATCCGTCTCTGGTTCTGGGTCAGAAAACGGTGGATTGCAGCCTCACGTGTGCGGTCGTCAGGCCGGCTGGTGCAGCCTCAGCAGCGATGGGGCGCTGAACTGGACCGAGTGCTTCAGACCACTCAGCTGGCGGGGCTGCATATGACAGCACATGTATCGAGCGCAGTCGGATTATTTAAGACAATAACACGATTCTGCTAAATTTATGAAAATGTTCTTTTTGTCCTTGGAGTGAGTACATCCCATTTTGGGTTATTTAGACTGAAATACTCAATTTTGCTCTACATGGGCCTGATATCCACTGACGAGGACATTATACTGCTACTGTTCTATCAACATTTTAAACGAATATCTTCATATGTGGCTCTTATTTTTCATAAAGACAAAAATAAGGTAAAAAAAAAAAAAATCTGGTAATTCTTTGTTTTTACATTTATTGGGCCCCAATATGCCCAAATAGCAAAGAGAAATTAAAAATGCATGCTGTGGAAGAGTTCGGGTCTCAGGAGGTTAAAGGCCAGTCTGTGAAAATATTGTCGGACATAAACCGGTCCATGGTGCATAAAAGGTTGGGGAACTCTGGGTTAAAGCATCATCGCTGCCTGATCTGCACTGGAACACAAACGCATCTCAAAATACGCACAAATTATTATTATGTTCAAATCACTATCATTACAGAGACGATGCTGATATGATGTTGTGTTGAAATGTAAAAGAAGGCCTAAATTAGTTGGTTTGTCAATAATTTGAACAAATCTTTAAAATAAAAATGCTCAGATTTTTCGTAAATAAGCAGAGTTTTTATTTACTTTGTGCTACTAATTCTTACTCTGCTTTGCAGTTCATAGAGTACAAAGTTAGCTTCCTAGATATTAGTGACCAAAACAGTCTTTAGTTGTTAAGAATAAAAACACAGTTTATGTCACGTAATGTAATAATGATGTTTTCACGTGTTAGGAGAATCGTTGCACCACTTATCATTAAATGTTAGTACGTTTTTGTCAAAATAAATTATGAAATTCTTAAATAGCTTCACAAATATGTGATAAATGAAGTGTGGTTTGTACAATGGCTATCTGTAAAATACATTGATACATGATGTTGGTGTTCGCTGCAGTGGATAACAAACAAAGTTTTTTATTTTTTAAATTTTGCTTTTGTTTTCAGTTTTTTTTTAATTATTTTTCTCTAATTATTTTTGTATTTTTATCAAAGTTTTTTGTGATAATTTTTTCTTTTTTTCCAGTATGTTCAGGTAAACAAAATACATATTTTGCTACGTTTTGCAAGCATCTGACTTTAAGCCTGGTAGTTTTTCACTTCAGACTTGCCATTAATTTAACATTTTGTTAAATGTATATAATAGATTTAGTTAAAACACACATTTGAGGATGAGCAGCAGAAGCTTTGCTGAACTAATATGTTGTAGCCACAGAACTAAATCTTACAAACCTCATGCTGGTATTTTAAGAGTTGATCCTTCCTGTGTCAAACCTCTGTTACCACCGTGTTACTGTTGTTGGGTCAAAGTTGTCAAAGTCACCGTTAAAGCAGCTATACGTCACAGAAATGAAGACACCCGTCGGTCTGTAACAGCGACCGCAGTCTGCAGCTAGGTCAGCCAGCTGCTCTCTCAGAGGGAAACAGAACTAACAGAGCGACTGTTCGCTAAAAGTCCTGTTTGTTTGGCCGTCTTTCCAGATGTGAAACCCTCCAACGTCCTGATCAACACTCAGGGCCAAGTGAAGATGTGCGACTTTGGCATCAGCGGCTACCTGGTGGACTCTGTGGCTAAAACCATGGACGCTGGCTGCAAACCCTACATGGCGGTAAGCAGCGCGATGCTTTAAGGAATGAAGTGAAAATAAATGAAGTGTAAAATAAAATTCTTTCTGTAATTAAAAGTTTAAAAAGTCCAGTGTGAGCTTCCTAAAGAGCCACCAAACACAGCTCAAAATCTTCTCACTTTGTTGATTGTTTGATTGATATTATTTTGTTATAACGTCCAACGTGAAGTTGAGTGTGTGAGCTGACAGCTCCATGCAACGATACGACGTCTGCTTGTCGTCATCTGAACGCCATTTCTGGAAACTTTCACGATGTTCTGTGGCGAGATCGGACAGTGCAAACATCAACTCTGTTTAATTTATCTTTACTAGTTATGAACGCTGGGCCTCCTAATACGACCACGCAGTATTTATCAGTCCAAACTTTCCAAACCGGAAGGTAACTCAGCAGGTGAGGAGCAAGACCAGGAGGATGCACAGTGTCCAGTTGTTGTCCAGACGAATCATGACTTTGAATCAGGAGGAGAGCCCGATGCACTCACTGCAGGGGCACAAACACGAGGAGACATATGAGGGCTTCAATGACGCGATCTAAAGACAGCAGCTGTGTCCAGAGATGCAGGAGAAGATGACCATGAGCAGGAGGTTCTTCAAGTTTAAAACACAAAGGCTTTGGATTCTTGTAGGACAAGTACTGAAACTTTTACACCTGTTAATGAATCAGAAGTAGTTTACAAATGGAAACTATATGAAAAACTTTAAATTTATAGGTATTATAGACATTTTTTTAGGCTTTTAGCGTCATTTTGTTTGTGTACCTGTTGTTACGTCCCAAACACCCCCCTCCCTCCTCCTGCTCCCTGTTATGCATGCCGGTGATGTGATCGTCCGTTTGTCTGGATTCTAAAATGGACTTTGACAGTCAACGGTCACTTTGACCTTACAAAACACAACTCAGGAATTCATACGCTTTAGCCAAACGTCTCAGAGTTTTAACATTTACAAAAAGTTCACAGGTCATTTTACTGCGACGGCGTTCTGCAAAAGCACACAACTCGGGAACAGCAGGCGAGACTTTGACCTTATTTCACAATTGTTTGAATACTGATTTGGTGGCCACCTGTTAAATGCCTTCAAGGGCCTCGCTCGCTACATGCGTTTTATCATCTGGAAAGGCAATAAATATAAACCGCAGCAGGTTGGCTGATGCATCTAACTACGAGGCAGTAATTCTACACTTTACTAAAACTGAAAGCTTGGAAGCGTTTGATTGTTACAGGAGTGTGTGTGTCCTCGTAGACAAGAGAAAACTACAGTGTAATTGAGAGAAACGTGGCTCTGTTTTCCTGGATTGAAGAAGCGACTCTTTGGATTTCCAGGAAAACTTTCTTATAAAAATGAAATAATGCTGCGTCTTTCGGAACGATCTGGATAACTTAAAATTCCAAGAAAGCCTCCTAGTTTACGCAAGGATCCAGTCTCATGGAAGCACATAATTCCCAGCCTGTTCAGTTTAACCAGTGTTCATGACCACCGGAGGAAACATTCGTCTCACGCACCTCATTCAAACATCATTTGGTACACTTCAAAGATTTAAGGTTATGCTTCTAAAATACATTTTGGCCAATACTTGGAATCACAAAGAATTAAAGGTCAGGCTGAAGAGCAGCAGCACCTGGATTTAGTCCATGCAGGTCAGAGAAACTAGACAAAGATTGTTAATAATAAAAAAAAAACGTTATATACATCGCCAACTTTAAGCTGCTGCCAATCAGCTGTTTTCCAGATAAAAATCTGTTGGTGCTCGTAAAAGTAAAAATTCAGTCACTGGGTACATGCAGCCCCTGAACCATGACGGAGCCTCCACTGTGCTTCACAGACACTCCTGTTGTGCTTTATGTCTGTCAAACTTTCAAAGATTATTATAAAGAAATGTGAACAAATGTTTTTCTGTCTGCTAGCAACTAAGTGTCTACATACACCACTTAAAATTGGTTCTTTGCTAAGTTGTCAGTAACATGTAGACACCACACTGGTTCAGCCTTTGAATTAGGTGCTCTTTTTCATGCTTCATTTCACTTTTATTTATATAGCACCAGTTCACAACAAAGTGCTTCAGTGATTCATAGGTCAGTGTTCAGCTGCGTACCAAAAGCATTCCTCTGAAAATGGTCAGATAAAAGGACTGGGCTGAAAAACGGCCAGTGTCCAAAGGAAACGCTAAAATATCTCCAGAGAGCCGGAGAACTATTGTTCAAGGCCGCTTTAAAAAAAATTACAAGTAAGCCTGACTGCCTGGATGGTTGTTAATGACACTGTTATTGCTGCAGTCTTGGTGTCTTCAGAGGTTTCTTTGAATTTTGAGGATTTGCGCTCATAAAAATGCAGCAGCACCCACGTCAGCCTGAATGTTGACGAATGTTACGACACGTGGATACGTGAGCAGGTATCCCGCTTTGGACGGACAACAAAGGGAAGTATTTTTACCTGGGGGTGGGGGAACGTAGACCAGAACATACTTCCTGTCGGTTTTGGCTGCAAACGTAGATTTTGTGCATTAAAAGTGTCTTTAGATCTGCGACCCCGAGTCCCTCATTATCATCCACACGCTTAATGAGCCAGTTACTCTTTAACCACTCGGCAGGCCACTGGTTGGCTGAGGGTATTTAGAGCCAGGTACGTTGCTCGGTCTGTGTGTGCACAAGAGCTTTGGGATTACGGGGCAGCGGGGCTGGTTATCCTTGACAACGGCTGCAGTTATTGACATCATCATGTGACCTTCTGTCTGTCCACAGCCGGAGAGGATCAATCCTGAGACCAACCAGAAAGGCTACAACGTCAAGTCGGACATCTGGAGTTTAGGAATCACGATGGTAAAGCCGCCTCGCGCTCCTGCATACGTTTGTTCACCTTTTCTGCATCGCTGCAAAAAAACACGATTATCAGTTAAAAATGAAAAAGTCGTGAAATATTCATAGCTTTGCAGCTCAGGCCGGACCGAGGAGGATGTTGGCATCAAGGATTCAGCAGTTGACTCGCGCTCGTCTCTGCCTGTTCGATCGGCTGTTCGAGCAGCGAATGTTCCAGCACAGTCTGAATTTTAAAAGGGCACTAAATGGGTTTTAAATAAAAGAGGAAAATTGTGATTTCAGAGTAGTGGAAGGTTTTTGTAATAATTGTAAAATGAAGAATGAGTGGTCCAGACTGAGCGATCAGCGTGTGGGATAAAACCTGCCGGGCGCTGATTGTTGGAGCACCTGTTGTTCCTCGAAAGCTGAACTGAAGGAGGTGAAGCAGCTGAGGAGGTTTTAGTGTGAAACTCATTAATGCTGCAGTAGCAGTGAGAGGAAAAACTACAGTAATGTTAAAAACTGTAACGGATGTTTGGGAAGCCACGTGTGTGCCGCTCTGCTGGAGATGAGTGGGATCTTTAGAGTGTGCTTGTTTTGGGGTCAGTCATTAAATGACGCTGCGACGTGGGATGGATTTGGGTGAAAAATCACATGAATGCAGCTGTGCAGATATGTTTGTGTCAGGTTATGTGTTTGTGCTCACTAAAGCACTAAAAACGCTCCTTGACCTCTTTGTTTTTTTGTCTTGTTTGGCTCAGATCGAGCTCGCCATCCTGCGCTTCCCGTACGACTCGTGGGGGACACCTTTTCAGCAGCTGAAGCAGGTGGTGGAAGAGCCTTCGCCCCAGCTTCCCGCCGACCAGTTCTCCCCTGAGTTTGTGGACTTCACCTCTCAGTGGTTCGTGTTTTTCTGGTTTATTTTCTTGCTTTGTCCAACTTTCTTCCAGCCTGATCCACGTCTCAGATTTACACCCAGATCTTTACACAGGAGAAGCCTGCAGAGTCGCGAAGCTGCTACAGATCACAGAGAGATGTGTACTGATCCCAGCTGAGTGGGCTCCAGATGATTTCCCCTTTATTCGATTGACTTCATTGTTGCTGTTTTTGTTATTCTTGTTTTCACAGGATGGGACTATCTGAATATGCTGTAAACATGCAACTGTGCACTTTTTACGGATCCCTACGTATTAGTTTAATTACTCTAATTATGTAATTTTGTGTCACTGTAATTTACAAGAACTGAGCTGCAAATATTGTTTTGAGCATAAATACTGTGTGAACCAGTGAGGGTGCACAGAGGTGAGGCGGGAGGCTGGCAGGTTTGGGGGTCATACGGGCAGGATGGCAGGAGAGCGCAGGTCGCTGTTAGCAGATGACTGCATGAATGTGAGACATGATGGCGGTAAAAATGAGGCGGTGGTTAGTTGGTAACGAGCAATAATAAATATTCTAAAGAGAAAAACACGGGTCTTTGAGAATGAACTGCTCAGGGGTTTCCATGTTTAATAGTTGTAATAGTCTCTAAACACTGAGTATAGTTTTTGATTATATTGTTTTCGTAATTGTTGGAAACGAAAATAATTATGTTTGAGATATTCATCAAGTTCCTGTTGTGAGTAAGAGCACAGAGAGATGGAGTATAAACAAAAGTAAAGAGAGAAAAGCGGGATGTCTTTGCGTTTGCGTATCGTTTTTGGATGTTTGTCAAAAGCCGAGCGGCTGTTTCGTGCATCCTCTTCTGTAACGTTACTCCTCCAAACTGTAACCGCACCATTGAGAACGAGATTATTGTGTTTGTGTCTCCAAGATCAGATCTTCTACATGCCAAAAAATCTTTGGTTCTGTTCTTTCTTTGTTGCTTAGTGACACATGCAGGTATTTGTGCAGCGAGAAGACGTACGGCGAGTGAGCTGAAAGGAGTTTCTTAATTTAAGACGGGCATCACAACCTTGCCTTTAAGAAAAGGGAGGCCGTGATGATGCAGGTGTAAACCTCACCTTACTCCAGTGCAAATGATGTCCAGTCAGTCAGAAGTTGTATTCATGCATAGCTCTGGAAGTTCAGGAATTGCAGAGGCTGCTGTGATGCACAGTGATGAGGGTTCATGAAGTAATAATGTCAGCTGGTTAAATGGCAAATGGACTGATTCTTATACAGAGCTTTTCTACACTCATAATCTGATGGATGCATTGGGGAGCAACTTGGGGTTAGTATCTTGCCCAAGGATGTTTGGCGTGCAAGCTGCAGCAGCCAGGGATCAAACCAGCAACGTTCCGATCAGCAGATCTGCTCTTCCTCCTGAGCTACAGCCACCACAGTTGAAGAAGGAATGAGGAAGAAGTGCAAAAAACCTTCAGAGATTAAAAATCACAGATGAAAAGCAGATATGGTGGACAGATTTGGTGATTTTTACCCTTCAGCTGTAAAAGGTTGATGGGGTATTGTTTCACTGGTGGGCCGGCGACATGGACACCTAGGTTTGTGAATGCAGTAACTTAAGCAGGAAGTCACCGAGGATTTTCAAAATTATACCACAGGTGTAGATACTAAAAATCCCGAAGTTTGAATCTCAGTGATCTCAATCTTTGTCCAGGTTTTCTGAAAGCTTTGTGAATGCACTGACCTGAGAATGAGGTTTTATTTATACAGCGCCAAGTCACTGCAACAGACTCCTCAAGGCGCTTTATGTTGTAAGGTAGACCCTACAATAATACATACAGAGAAAAACCCAACAATCAGATGACCTCCTGTGAGCAAGCACTTTGGTGACAGTGGGAAGGAAAAACTCCCTTTCAACAGGAAGAAAGGCTTATCGGTAGACTGGTGGTTGCCAATATTTTAAATACTGTTTCACTCCACCTGCACTGCAGCAACGACCAAGCTGAAAATGCAATAACATTTATTTAAACTTGAGTTAAAAGCAACTGGTCTGTTTTTTTAGGTACTTGAAGATGTTTCACACCAGAGAGGTTTCCTGAAAGCTGTTGGGTTGTCACCTTGGAGGTGGTCCAGGTGGATGTAGGGCCATCTTAAATCGTCTGTCTTCTCTGTCCAGAATGCAAATGTTTGGATGCTCAGGAGAGTCTCTTCTGCTTGTCAGTCCAAATATATCGCTGAGCTTTGTCCTGAAGATCTGACTCGTGTATTGTTCAGTTTTCAGTGATCAACTTTTAGATGATGTGAAGAAGTGTTTGGGAAGACAAATGAAATGTCTTCAGGAAGCTTAAAGAAGTCTGGCAGCCTTTGGAAGACTGAGAGCTTACAGTGGCATGCAACAACAGCTGGAACATTGACAAGAATATCTCCTGTTACCGGTTGTTCCACATAGAACTGAAATACCCCCCACCCCACCCACAACATGCTTAACATGCAAATAACTGAAGAACCTTAGTAATGTGGAAACTGCATAATTGTGGCAGTGATGTGAATACTGAACTCTTTTCGCCCAGCACTGCCAACACCAGCAGACGACTTCTTCCTGTCACTAATGTAAAGTGATGCTGCCTTTAAGCAAAGCCAAATTATTGAATTGTTTTTCTTTTCTTTGTAATGTTTTTTTTTTTTTTGGCTTGTTTTGAACTTTTTGGGGGCCGGCTATTTGCTGGAGTAGTGCATGTTCATCTGGTTTCCTATGGGAGATTCAGGCTTAATGTGCAGCTGCTGAATGAACGTGATGGTCAGACGCCTGCCTGATGGTGTTCTGTGAATCTGGGTGAATCTGAAATGCTTACATGATGTATGGCTGCTGACCTGAAATAACACTCGATCACACTGAGAAACGAGTCGTCCTCCAGTTTCGATCATTGTTTCCTGGTGATATCAGAAAATGATGCCGCACTTTGAGCAGTACTCAGAATGCAGAAAGACACTGATGTGACTATGTTCTTTGGTGCTTGGGTGACTCATCGTGCTTGGTTGTATTTTTTCTGTTACCTTGAAACCCTCGGAGGCTGGCAGTCTGCGACTTCTCAGACGCTTTCATAGAATAACACTGAATCAGACGCTGGAACAGATCTGTGGCAAGAGTGGGGAAGTCCACCATTTAATCTTCATCTTTGCTTTTTTTTCTTCTTCTGCAGCTTAAAGAAAGTTTCCAAAGAGCGGCCGACTTACACAGAACTCATGGTGAGTGTTTCTGTGTTAACAGATTATAAGCATGACTTCCCTGCAAGCACCTTGTAATGCTGTTAATCAAACACTGGGGGGTGCACTTAGATTGTTATTTACAAACCCTGTATTTGACGCTTGAAGCCAAGATGCTTCACTGGTCTCATCCATGGAAGGTTTACTAAAGGTCCAGTAAAAGCTCAGAGTATCAGGGGGTGCAGGTGTTTGAATGGCTTCAGCTTAATCAATTAAGCACAAAGAGACCCGAAATGGATGCAAACGAACAACAAAAGACACAAAAATGATTTATTTTTTTTTAAATGTGCAAAATGACCATGAACCAAGACTTCCTACAAGCTCTAAAATGACCAAGTGATGCAAAATAAAACTCAAATGACTGGAAATCAACAGAAGACACAGAATTAAGAACTGCAAAGTCACCAACAAAATGAATAGAAGCAAAATGATGCACATACATGTGAAATCGGTGCATAAGGACAACAATCGGATTGTTTACAACTAAGATTCATGAACCGACTATAAACAAATACAAAATGTCCACATAAAGATGCAAATCGTGCCGTTGAAAAGTTGAAAAAAATTCAATTCAATATAATTTATATTGCGCCAAAGTATGGCAACCAGATACAATTTGACCAGAAAAGGCAACAAAGGTGTCACTACAAGAGATGACAACAAATGAGTGTAAACCAAGTGTCAAAAACTAAAATCAGATTGAAAACAGCTGCAAAGAAATGCTCTAATGACCATAATTACAATGCAAACTGCAACACAACAACACGACAGCCTCAAAGTTCAAGGAATTGATGCTTTAATTGCTTTTTTCTGATTTGGCTCCCGACTAACTCGGTGTCCGTTTCCTCCTCAGCAACATCTCTTCTTCACTTCCCACGAGGCCAAAGAAACCGACGTGGCTAGCTTTGTGAAAGTCATCTTGGGAGACTGAGTGCACTGGAGGGAGGGGGAGGAATCTGTTAAAAAAGAGGAAACAAAAAAAAAAATCCAAGAAAAAAACACCAATCGCAGCCCCCCCCACCATCCCATTTACCCGCAGGATTCCCTCTCACCCCTCCCTCCAGTGGCAGACAAACGGAGCCCAGAGGAGCCGCTGACGAAGCAGAACGAGGAGTCTGTCCCCGCCCCCCACCTGGCCTCAGCCCCCCCCTCTGTGCATCACCTGGCACGGTGGGAGGAGTTTGGGAGACGGGAGCCTCACACAGAATCTGGAGTAATTTATGATGTGTGTATGCAAAGCCTCCCCGTTTGATTCGATTTGCCCCGCCGCTGCGCTCCTCCTCGAGCGCTGTTGTTAGCGCGCTGACTCTGTGGCCTCCACAAGGGTCGAGTCATAGTTTCTTTTTTGCTGAAAAGCAGAAGCGAGAAGATGTGCAGATTATATAAAAAAAAAGAAGAATGATATAATCTATCTGTGTATAATCTAAATGTTTGCATACTCGAAGCAAGTGTTGCATCAGATTATTAATTGACTGCATGTACAGAATTTCTCTCTGGGTAAAGACGGGCTCATGTGGCCAGTGAGGAACAGTTGGAGAGTCCGATTGTTGACTTCAGGGGCTCCCCCCAGTGGTCACAAAGAGGTACTGCACTTACACTGCTTTCCCCCCTGATTACAGTGGAGGTCAACTACACATTTTGGGCTCTTGGCTGCCTGTGAGCGTGAATGTGTGCGAGCTGGTGCATGACATGTGTGTGTGGGGCATGTTCACAGAGCTGCACGGCTCCAAATCCAAGTAGAAACGCAGTTTTCGTGCTCCGCAACATTTTTTTTTTATGGATTTTCTGCAGCCTCGCTGCCCCTGTAAGAGCTCAACAGGCAGGGCAACACTCTTACGTTGCTTTAAAAGTACAGGCGACTGTGCATCTGCACATCATGTTCAAATGTGACGCATGTAATAAAGAGCTTTATTTTAAAACTAGTTAGTATGGTAGTCTAGTACAAGCATAGACTGTATATTAAAGATGGAAATGGCCACCATGACGCCACCGTGTCAGCAAGGTTCTGTAATTTGAAAGGCGTCTAAATAAATTGTGAAGTTGTGCTTTTTGATGTGACTGTACCCATGTGGTCGGGGTGCCCCATCAGCAAACTCAGCGATGACTGCTGGTTCAAACACGTCCATTTATTTTTAATGTATTTCTAATTTGACCCCTCAAAAGACCCCAAACAAAAGATGTGAGAACAATGAAAGTTGCGAATAGATCTCAAACTTTTACACTTTACCGTGATATTGTAAAGTAATGTAGCCAAAAGCACCAAAGTCCAATAGATATGAGATTCTGAGGTCCAGCAGCTTTGGCTGGTTTGAAGCCACTGACTGCTCCGTCCCTGATCCTTCCTGCGTGAAGCTGAATCGCAGATCTTTGAGACAAAGGCGGAGCCGAGTCGCAGCCGTGCAGCTTCGTGTCGCTCACACACACTTTAAATGTCGGGGTGTGTGTTTGCGTGTGCGTGTGGGCTGTGTGGGGGAAGATTTTCTCCTTGTTGTCTGTACTGAGCCAATCACAACCCTCTCCACTCACCATGAAAAGAACTGGATACTATTGCTATTATTATTATTATTAATATTAATTATTGTTATTATTTAGATCCAGGTTTTTTCTCCCCCCTTCGACATACTTACTGCAGTTTCTCTTATTTATTATAACTGCTGTTTTCCCTTTGGATACTTGACCGAACCATTTGAGACTCTCCTCACGTGTTTGTGTGAGCTGTGTATGGTTTTTGTTTTTCTTTGTGTTTTTTTTGTCGTGTTCTTCTTGGCTCAAACACGTGAAATGCTTTTAATCTGTAACTTGCAAGCCTTCTGTGTGCCTCTATATAGAAACCGTCTAAGGAAAATGAGATGTTAAGAATGATGCAGGGATCCGCTCCCTCCCTCCCTCACACGCTGCATGGCATCATAATCCCACTTTGTGTTCCTTGTTGTACCGTAGCTCATGCTCGTTTTTTTATGTTTTTATGCTTGTGTTCATCTCTCTCGTTGCCTTTGTTCTTGGCCTCTTTCTCGCAGTGATTTCTGTGGAAGCCGAGCTGACGCCTTCTAGATGTCATGTAAGAATTACTCTGATGTCAAAACGGGAAACTTGAAGTGTTTTAAGTGGCAGAGCTGAATTATCACGTGATTTCTTCTAATTTTGACTTCTGGGGCCTTAAACTGTGTCAAAAACTGAACCAAAAACACTTCTAATCTGTTCTGACAAGACTTTTACCCCCGAATCTGCTCGACATTACAGCATCGATAAATCGTCACTATACAACCACAAACCCTAAAACTCGGGGGTCCACCTTCAGTCGATTTAGCTGTTAGAGTTGCAGTCAAACTGGACATCAACATCATTTAAAGCTGTATTAAATTATTAGTTTATACGAATTTGAAAGAACTTTTGGGCCATCCGGGGGTACTTGATATTTATAGTCCTATACACGCATCATATTTGCTTCTATCTATTCATGCTTAAGGTCATCACAACAAAAGGCTTCTTCCCCGGACACTCCTGTCTGCCAACACTCCCTCAGACGTGGTTTGCTGCTAATATCAGAACAGATCCGGTATACACACCTGCAAACAACTCAAACAATCTCAGCTGTAATCAGAGCTAACTGAGAGAAAACAAACTCCAGCTAACAAAGTGGAAGGAGATGATAATGCTCCTAATTCCTCCTTACCACGTCCATTAAGAAGACTTCAGTTTTCCATTCCAGCATTCCTGTCTCCAGGATCATACTGTGCACGCATCCGTCCAGGTCTCAGATATTGAAACACAGTCGTGAGACGTGCAGCAGCAAAACAGACACACACCCCTCCCTGAACCCGATTGAAGCTGACTTAGGACCCAGTTGGACTTGATTTATCATTGTGTAGAGGCTTCAAACACACAGGAAATGTAGTCGGAATAAACAAACCTGTGTGGCACTTGGCCTTTACCCGACTAGCTGTCCTCCCTGAAGTTCAAAAACATGTTAAACTCATAGAAGACGTCTGAATAATGATGAGCTTTGACTGAAAAGTCAGAGGACACGTTTCCTCAATACTAACTCGGCAGATCTTCCTGGGAGGCAGCGCTGGTCCGACTTGCTGCCTGAGCGTGCGGGTACAACACCTTTGATTGTCCGGAAATAAGTCACCACCAACTCCAACACAGCGATCCGGGACGCAGTGAGACCCATGTGGGTGTCTGATCAAGCCGTCTGGTAACCAAGTGAACAGCAGAAAGGTTGGCGCCTATCAACCTTTCGCTATTCAACCAAACTGAAGTCGATGCAGAGCTTAGACAGCTCAGTGAGTGCTGAGGGCTGTAAACTCCTAGATTCATGGTTGGGAAAAATGGTTTTTAGCTTTTATTTTTTGTCAACCAGGACAATTTTACGACTGAGCAACCACATTTACCCAAAAACATCATCTGTGGACCTCTGGGGCTCTATTTTAAAGAAATAATGTTCTCTCTGCTGTTTTGCCAGACTCCAAAACAAAGTCTCCTGCCCTCAGTCGAGTACAGTTCGCTCTGTCATGTTATCAGGGAAGTTTCCTGTTTTGATGCAGAGTAAAAACCTTCCTTTCACCCTATAACCTGCTCCCCGTTGGGCTCCAGTCCCACAACCTTTGGCTTAGATAATTCCTTGAAGTACTGCGAACACGCCCATGCCCGCCTCACAAAGCTGTCTTATTTTTCTTTATGAAGCTCTCACCGTTCTCTATTTTTCATCTATAGTTCTCATTTTCTGACTTCACCAACTGTTTCTCTGTGGTGAAGCTGAATGTGAGGACTGGCAGCAGACAGAAGTCATCGCGGCGAGGACATTTAAGGGCTTCCTCATTAGTGCATCTCTGTAGCGAAGATGGAAATATACTGGAGAGACTTTTAATTGCCCCTAGTGTTTTTAGGCCATGATGAAATTAACAAAATTCAAGTCACACTTTCTGGAAGCAGAGCAAAATTATCCATCACAGGTCGAACCTCGAGATTCTTTTTTTTCCATTAGTGAAAAATGGTTATTAACCTAACTTAGCAAATGTGACCAAAGAGCTGGAGCCAGGCTTAGGAGGCCGGGAAAGGTAGTCGAACTCGTCATGGCACGCGTAGACTCGGAGCAGTGGATTTAGGTTTGTGTGGCGTTCGTAGGTGTTTTAAGTGCCTAACAGTACATATCTGTGGTGTACATTTACATTGAAACACTTGTCTGTCTTCGTGATTGATGCTTAAACACTGTTTTGGTCCTTCAGTTCCTGTCCTGGACCCACTGACACTGCAATTTGCTGTGATGTTTTGCACTGTACCGAGGAGTCATATCACATTGTCACATTTACGAGTGTGTTACTGTAAGGAAGCAGTCATTCAGTCGATGAAGGGTTGCCCTGTGTGTGGTCATTTTCCATCTTTTTTTTTTTTTTTTTTTTTTGTGAGAGGGAGAGTTTGGAGTTAGAGGTTCTGACTTTTATTTAACTGAAATTGTGATACTGTAAAAATTCTGAAATAATACCAAGCTTTTCTTCAACTGCTCACTTTGTTTTTGCTGCTGTTTGCACTCGTCGGCCATGCTTAGTCTGTACAGCTGTCAACATCAAAGATGAAGGGTGACACTGACCCGACGGAAACCTGTTACAGAGCAAAGGCTTTTATTGTGAAAAACCTTTTTGCAAAAGCCCGCGGATCGCGTTTGGTTATCATGTTACAGGTTAGCGGCCTTGTAGTGATTCTTGCCCACAAATATAGATGGAAACATTTAGTGCCACCATATAAACGACACCAAAACCCTTTAGTCTAAATAAAAATGAGCCATTTTCACACAAGCTCTCAGACTGCAAGGATGCAAACGTAAAGCTGAAGCCTCGGTTTATTTATGACCCTGTTATGTTTTTACACAGGACTGTTTATCATACCTGACCTGTTTCATTTATCTATGAAAGATTTTTAAATGATTCTAATGTCTTTTTGTCTTTGATGCAGACAAAGAGTGAAAATAGCTGTGTGGCCTAACTTTTGGCGTCCAGTATTTGCTTCAAGCCTTACGCAGCAGTAAATCACAGCGCTCGTTCTGTTAGCGCTGATTCACCACAAACATCACAATGTAGTTGTTAAACTCTTTGCTCCACCACGAGGCCAATTCCTCTAAACGACACTCTGTAGGAGAAGCGGTTTAAAAAGATGTGGCAGCATTTTTACCCACAGAACTGTACGGCCGGGGTTATAAATGAGGCCACTCAGTCACCTGAAGGTTAAACACAGTTTACTGTGAGTGTAGAGCTGACTAACTGGTGATTGGCTGTCAGGAGACAGGCGGCTTCCTGTTGTCTGCTCGGTGCGAGGGCAGCCTCGGCCAGCGCCCTGACCTGAGTTCACGTGTGAAAATGGCTTCACTCGGCGTGACTGAACGTCTGCCGAGAGCTTGTACAACTT